AAGGGAAATATGACCACTGAAAAGGAACTTGTCATCAAAAACATGTGATGTGAACGAAGATAAAGATGATTTTACTAATACGAGCAACAAAGATGTGGATGACCCTGTGGACTGAACGCGCAAAAACAAAAAACATATTTCATGGTACTCTGGACGAAAGATAATGAAAGAAATCATGGTCTCTTTAATTGCAGATTTTCATAGTTACCAATACTGCCAACTGGTCAAGGATTTCTTCCATCGACAGTACGTTTCCCGATGTTTCGAGGGTTAAACAAATAATTCTCTTGGTGACGTAACGGTTTGCCACCAGTTGTCTTTATCATGTCAGCAGGAACCCTGTTGAACGAGTGGACGCGCAATCTGTGGATAGAAATGATATGAAATGACAATCATCGCGGATGTCTTTTGAAGGAAAACACATATCGTGGTGATGCTCCCGGTCGACTGTTAGCTTTTTGTTCCCGAGAGAGCCTGAGCGCAGGGTTCTTCTGAAAAAAGGCGCTGAGATATTACACCTTCACATCTTACACCTGCACATCTTACATTTGCACATCTTACGTCTGCACATCTTACATCTGCAGATCTTACATCTGCACATCTTACATCTGCATATCTTATATCTGCGGATTCTACATCTGCACATTTTGTGTCTGCACATCTTACACTTGCATCTTATAAACATATGCAGGCCTTACATTTGCTTATCTTGCGTCTGCAGATCTTACATCTTCACATCTTACGTGTGCAGATATTTTATATTCAGATCTTCTGTCTGTATATCTTACAGCTTCACACCGTACGTCTGCAGATCTTACATCTTCAGATCTTGCGTTCTCTTCTCTCCCTATCTCTCTCTCTCTCTCTTCTCTCTTCTGCTAATTTCTATTCTCTCTTAAGGAGGGGCGGTGGCCAAAAATGCGACAGCTACGCACGAAATGAGGTTCGATCGTCAAAAACTGAGGAAGAATGATCTGTGTAAAAGTGTCTGTGTGTAAAAGCATCTTTGTGTAAACGTGTCCGTGTGTCACAGCGTCTGTGTGTAAAAGCGTGTGTCTGTAAGTGTCTGTCTGTATGTAAAAGGGTTCGTGTGGAAAAGCGTCTGTGTGTCCGCGCTGTGTCCCGCGATCATACTGTAATGTGATTTTGTTTGGCGTAATTGTGTGTAAAGGGTTTGTTTGTGTAAAAGCGTCTGTGTGTAAACCGTCTGTGTAAAAGCGTCTGTGTGTAAGAGTTTTCGTGTGTAAAAGCGTCTGTGTGTAAAAGGATCTGTGTGTGAAAAGCGTTCGTGTGTAAAAGTCACTGTGTGTAGAGCCGTTTGTGTGTAAAAGGTGTCTGTGTGTAAAAGCGTCTGTGTGCAAAGACTTTGTGTATAAAAGCCTCTGTGTTTTTGTGTAAAAGACTTTGTGTGTAAGGGTTTTTTTGCGTAGAAGTCTCTGTCTGTAAAGGTGTTTTGTTACATCTTCGCAATCCACATTTTCTCCATTTTTTCTTTCCTTTCATCCATCTTCACATGTTGCCTCTGTCATCTTTACCAAGATCAGCTGCTACATTTGTCATCCTTATAACTGTCCAGAACATAATTCACACATACTTTTTACATTGTCTTGATAATAAGAACTCAATAACCTGCTCCTGTACGCTCTCGGGCCATCCGCCGTCTAGTTTCGCATGCGTGGCCACCTGGCCGAATTACCAACCACAGATACTGGGCCAACAATACCCATCGTCCAATCAGATGAGACAAGAAACCGCCCGGTGCGAAAAGGACGATCTTGAACTGCGAGAGCGAAAAGCATGCAGCAGCACACATATGGAGGTTTCCTAGAATGGGGGGGTACCTCCAATCATCCAAAAATAGACCATTTTAGTATTGAAACCTATGGATCCTCCAATTTTAAGAACCACCTGCATTTCAGGAAGATCAGTCATTGAAAAAAACACATGAATCCCATCCCTACATATTAAACCCCTCCCTAAATGATCCGAAAAATGTGTAAATTTCCTACGAAAAACCATGGTGGTATATAAACAAATACCACTGGGAAAGGAGTCATTCCATCTTATCGGGTAATTATTGTGGATTCTCCTCCACCTGTCATAAACAAGATTGATTGGTACCCTCAAAACCATGCAGGATTTGCTGGATGTTCATTGACCCCTGTGTAAACCAACATAGACATGGAAAAACACATCATTTTGCCCTGGGAGACGATGTAAAATTGAGGTTTGTCCCTGTGTTAATGTCCTGTAGGGGGAAATTACATTTTGATTCAACTACCCTGCAAAGTGATTCCCCCAAGGATAGACTAGGAAGCGCCTTAGAATCATGGATGTTGGTGTTTATACAATCTGCATAAGCTCACCCATTGTCATCATCAGGGTTGCTCCAATCCATCATAGATAAATGATAGCCACGTTTGGTGGGATAAATTGGTTATTTTGCCTGTAAATTTAGCCAATTTACCCAACCTGTGGGTTTGGAGCAACCCTGTTTATT